TGACTTGTTCTGCATGATATGCTTACTGGCTGAGATCAGGAGATGCCCAGAGATGTAAATTGCTGCTTTATTTGCTGAAAGTGAAATAATTTAGCGATGATCATATCATGCGGCCTTTTTCAATAGGGCTCTCCAGAGGCTTAAAGGGATTTTTTAAGCAGTGACCAGTGGCTGATCAATCTACTGCCAGCAATGACCACCATTATAGGACAGTGATATTCTACTGAATTCTACTATAAGGGAGCATTTTTCCACTAACCACCATCGTAAAGGAGCACCAAACTGACCAACAATGCCATGAGGCATTTCTCCACTTACCACCAATGTAAGAGAGCACAACACTGACCACCAGTGTAAGGGGGCATTTTTCTACAGACTCCCAGTATAAGAGAGCACTATACTAACCCCCAATGTAGGACAGCACTACACCGACCACCAATTTAACCAAGCATTACACTGGCCACCAATGTATGGTGCACTACATTCACCTCCAATATAAGGGAGCACAACACCAACCACCAGTGTAAGGGGGCATTTTTCTACAGACTCCCAGTATAAGAGAGCACTATACTAACCCCCAATGTAGGAGAGCACCACACCGACCACCAATTTAACCAAGCATTACACTGACCACCAATGTATGGTGCACTACACTCACCTCCAATGTAAGGGAGCACAACACCAACCACCAATATAAGGGGGCATTTCTCTATTGACTACTAATGTAATAGTACATTACCCTATCCCCTCACAACTCCTACGACCTCCCTCCCCCTCCATCCTATGCTCCCTCACCCACATCTTTATCTCTCCCTCTCCTCCGGCACTTTCCTCTCCCCTCTGAAACATGCACACATCACCCCCATACTTAAAAAGCCCTCCCTGGACCCCAATGACCCGAACAACCTCAGACCCATCTCCCTGCTCCCATTTACATCTAAACTCCTCGAGCGCCTAGTCTACACCCGCCTAAGCTCTCATCTCAACGACAACAACCTCCTCGATCTCCTAGAGTCCGGCTTCCGTCCCCTACACTCCACTGAAACTGCTTTACTCAAACTCTCCAACGACCTGCTAACCGCCAAAGCTAATGGCCACTATTCAGTGCTCCTACTCCTTGACCTCTCTGCGGCCTTCGACACAGTCGACCACCCCCCTCCTCCTCAAAAAACTACACTCCCTCGGCCTCAGAGATTCTGCTCTCTCCTGGCTCTCATCCTACCTGTCACAACGCTCTTTCAGCGTTACCTATAATGCTACCACCTCCCCCTCACTCCCCCTCTCTGTTGGGGTCCCTCAAGGCTCTGTCCTCGGGCCCCTTCTCTTCTCCATCTACACCTCCTCCCTTGGCCAACTCATACACTCTCACGGCTTCAACTACCACCTCTATGCCGACGACACACAAATCTATCTCTCAACCCCCCACCTCACCCCCTCGGTCTCCGCCCGAATCACGCACCTACTGAGCGACATATCAGACTGGATGTCACTCCACTTCCTTAAACTGAACCTCTCCAAAACCGAGTTTCTTGTCTTCCCCCAGCCCGGACACCACCCCCCATTGACTTCTCCGTCACATCCAACAACACCACCATCAAACCCGCCCCGCAGGCCAGAGTACTTGGTGTCATTCTGGACTCCAACCTATCCTTCCAGCCCCAAGTCCAATCTTTAACAAACTCGTGCAGACTCCACCTCCGCAACATCGTCAAAATCCGCACGTTCCTAACCCCAGAAACCACTAAACAGCTCATCCACTCCCTCATCATATCACGACTCGACTACTGCAACTCCCTTCTCACTGGCCTGCCTCGTCGATCCTGAATACGGCTGCCAGACTCATTCACCTTTCTAACCTCTTCATCTCCACCACCCCCCTCTGCCAATCCCTCCACTGGCTTCCGATTGTGCAACGGATCAAATTTAAAATCCTAACACTGACGTACAAAGCTGTCCACCATACTGCCCCGTACTACATCACTGAGCTAATATCCAAGTACCGCCCAGCACGCACACTCCGCTCCTCACAAGACCTCCTTCTCTCTAGTTCCCTGGTCTCCTCCTCCCATGCCCACCTCCAGGACTTCTCCAGGGTGTCACCCATCCTCTGGAACTCCCTGTCCCAACCCATCAGATTATCACCTACTCTTCTCTCCTTTAGGCGCACCCTGAAAACCCATCTCTTCAGGGAAGCCTACACCGCCCCTCTCCTAACCTGCCGACCTCCTCCACTCTTCCTACCACTCCATCCCCCACAGCTATCTCCTCCTGTACCACTATCCCCTCACTCCTAGATTGTAAGCTCGAAAGAGCAGGGCCATCGATCCCCTCATGTTTTGCATTGTATTGGTATTGTTCTGTCACATGTTCTGTCCCCCTTTGTAATGTACAGTGCTGAGCGAACCATTGGCGCTTTATAAATACTGTATAATAATAATAATAATAATAGAGCCATCCCATATGGAATAAACATATATTTGGAATATATTTTAAAAATATTCTTCCCAAATATATTGACATATATCTGAAATGCTACAATTGTGGCCATATTCAATATATTTCAGAATATATTTCAATAAATATATATATACTGCATGTTGAAATGTGTTTTATTACAAAAAACGAGATCTGCAAAATACTCGCCATGCTTCTTATAAAATTCCTTGGTGTGTCTACTTTTCAAAAAGGGGTCAATTGGGGGGTTTGGTGCTATCCTGGCAGTTTAGGGCCTCCGAAACTGTGATAGGTAGTCAGGAAGTGTAATAAGGAAATAAAGCCCTTTAAAAGCTTGAAGGTGCTTATTGGATTTTGGGGTCCTGTATTTGGCTAGACTGCCAAAAAGTCTCTCACATGTGGTACCCCCATACTCGTAGCAGAATGTGTTTTGGGGAGTAATTCCACATATATCCATGGAATGCGTGAGCAATAAATTATTTAGGTGACAATTTTGTGTAAATAAAAAAAAAACTTTTTGTCATTTTCCAAAAACTTGTGGTAAAAAAATTAATTCTTCTATTGATTCAACATGCCTCTCAGCAAATAGTTTGGGGTGTCTACTTTCCAAAAGGGGTCATTTTGGGGGGTGGGGGCGTTTTATGCCCAGCATTAGACGTTTATGCCACACATCATTCACTCTTCTAACCACCTGAAGACCAAGCCTTTTCTGACACTTTTTCACATGAAAAAAATCAGTATTTTTTTGCTAGGAAATTAATTTAAACCAGGGGTGGACTGACAACTCATGGGGCCCCCGGGAAATAGGGGATCATGGGGCCCTTGTGTCCTTCTTGCCCACACTCAAAAAAGCCTATAAAAAAAGGTACCAGGGGCATTTCATGGGGCCCCCTACTGACCCCGGGCCCTCGGACAGTGCCCAAGTGCTTGAATGGTCAATCAATGGTGCAGGAAAGTCAATCGTGCAGGCAGGCAGATCGTAGTGCTGTCATTGGCATCACTTCTTAATGATTGGACAAAAAGAGAACATGGGGTGCCCCCCAACAGAGAGACTACCTCTTACATTGCAAAGGGTTAAAACCAGGTTCCATATTCCAGATCATTACAAGTTGCAAGTGACTGTGTTAGTTTCAGTTGTTCAGTTTAGAGCACGTTACTCACAGATTATCACACTGAGGCCCAGTCTACCTAGGCCATTATGTATTACGGCCTACTGCTTTAGTGTGTTACTACAATCCTGAAACCTCAGGACTCTGGCAGCACATTTCCCTGCAGACAGGATCACACTAGTATCTCATTTCAAGCTTCTTCCAGCTCCAAAGGAACTTGCTTCACCAAACCTATTCCATCTTTAGGGGTTCAACCTCTGCTGAAGTCTGCTTCCTCCCCTTTCTTCAATTTTAGCCAGTTCTTGCCTTCATCCTTTGTGTTTCAACATCACTCAAAGGGGGAATATTTCTGTGGCTACACCATCTTCAGAACATTTTGCTCTTACACAAGGAGGGATCTGAACCTTAAAGTATAATTTCACTGTTCATAACATGTTATGTGTTACATCGATATTCCAGGTGTAACATGTTATGAATAGACCGGTCCCTGGGATCTTCTCCTCCTGCTAGCTGTCAAAATTTTTAAAAAACACGGCCGTGCTCCACCCTCCTGGCCGTGTCACCATTCACAGTCCTCTGTCTTCAAGTCCTGACAGTCTTAGCAGCTGTTGGCTTGTAGTTCTTTGATTTTTCCTGTCAGTGTATCTGTTTGCCCGTACATCCCGTACAGGCAAGCAGATATACTATAACAGGTCTGCAGGAGACTTGCATGGCACCAGCAATATGCTGATTGCTAGTGCATGGCTTTACAGTCTTCTGCAACATAAAATAATAAATGCACATTTTTTTACCTGCAAAAAATGTGCATTTATTATTTTTTGGCAAAAGGTGAACTTATCCTTTAATGTGCACCAACTAGGGCACCATCAAGTGTACAAAAGATTTGTCACCATTCTTTAACCACTTGCCTACTGGGCACTTATACCCCCTTCCTGCCCAGGCCAATTTTCAGCTTTCAGTGCTGTTGCACTTTGAATGACAATTGCGTGGTCGTGCAACACTGTACCCATATGAAATTTTTATCATTTTTTTGGGGGACATATAGAACTTTCTTTTTGTGGTCTTTAATCACCTCTGGGTTTTTTATTTTTTGCTAAACAAACCAAAAACAACTGAAAATTTTGAAAAAAAAAAAGTTTTTTCTTAGTTTTTGTTTTAAAATGTTTGTAAATAAGTGATTTTTCTCCTTCACTGATATGCGCTAATAAGGCTGCAGTGATGGGCACTGATAGGTGGCACTGATGAGGAGGTACTGGTAGGGGGCTCTGATGGGCATTGACAGGCATCACTGATGGGCACTGAAAGGCAGCACTCATATATGGCACTGATAGGCAGCACTGATAGGCAGCACTGATAGGTGGCACTGATAGGCGGTACTGACTGGCACTGATAGGCGGCATTGACTGTCACTGTTAGGTGGCACTGTTAGGTGGCACTGATAGGCAGCACTGATGGGCACTGATAGGCGGCACTGATGCACACTAATAGTCGGCACTGACTGGCACTAATAGGCGGCACTGACTGGCACTGATTGGCAGCACTGATAGGTGGCACTGACTGGCATTGATAGGTGACACTGAAAAGCAGCTCAGATGAGCACTGATATGTGGCATTGATGTGCACTGGTAGGCAGTGATATGTGGCATTGATGTGGCACTCATGGGCACTGGCAGGTGGCACTGATGAGCACTGACAGCTGGCATTGATGGACACTGACAGGTGGCACTGCTGATCAGTGTACATGTCCCCTCTGAGGAATGCCAATTACCGGCTCTCCTCTCCTCTCGAGCTGTCAGCGTGACAACTTGTGAGGAGAGAAATGCCGATAGCCGGCATTTCCCTATTTACATGATTGGACACAGCTGATCATCTGTGATTGGACACAGCTGATCACATGACCGAGCCAAAATCTTCGGCTCTTTCTGTTGATCGGTGATCCCTGCTGTGTCCGAGGGGTCACAGCGCACCGCCAATCACTGCGCTGCACGCTCCCGGGAACTGCGCATGCACGGTTAGAATGGGAAGACGTCATATGACGTCCTCGCAGAACGAGAGAATGGCTTTGCGCCCATCATTACCTTATATGGCGGGCGGGAGGTGGTTAAAGAGATACAAAAGGGACACTACTGCCCATAACAAAAGTATTCATCTCAAGAGTTAAACCCAGTTACCGGCAACTGAAAACCCAAAAGTGAGTTAGCCTGACATCTTGATAGTTCACTTCAGGTCATTTGGGAGAGATATCTCAGAAGCTGGAATTGATGTTTAAATTCTGATCCTGAAGGACATTTGGGTCCGCTTAAAGTGATACTGTGCCTTATTACTTTGTTGAGCCTTTTAGGGTGTCTAATTTTTCTTTTATGCACATCTACTGTCATTCTTGTTGTGCTTGCACTCTTTATACTATGACCTCGATACAATTAGAATATTTGCTCACCGTAAACTGTGTGTTTATTTAATGATTTAAAGCCAGGGAGTCCTCCTGGTCAAAGTTTCACTGTGGTGTCAGCAGGGGCTCGGGACAGACAGGGAACCCAAAAATACTCAGTGATCCTTTACAGGGTAGCGCTACATAACCTTTGAGAAGACAAGTAAGTGCACTGAAGGTGTGTAAAGGTATTTGGCTGGAATCCTTCTTCATACCAAGTTAGAGTTTCAGTCTTTTGCAAATAATTGTTGTATTCTTATCACTATATGATATATCACTAAAATAGATCAATTCGACAGTATGTGGTGGGTAATAAACGTTTAGTACCAGAAATCACATTTTGTATTGGGGGTGGTTTAAAATGCTTTAATATTTGTTTTAACACCACAAATACTTTAGAAAGCTCTCTAGAAATGACCTATGAAGAAAAGCATTAACATTCAGAGAATACCAATCCTGAAAGGCAATGGTATGCTACTGAACAGACTTTTGCTCTTTTTCTTTACAGTGATTCTAAAGGCTCAAGCTTTTTTTCACCTTCATGCATTCTATGCTATATTGCCATACTTTGCTGTATTTCTTTGGTGAAAATAACCCAAATCAGGGCAGACTATTTAGTCTGTAGGAAATCACAAACACAAACTATGGTTATACTGTATATCTGAAAATCAATCAATCCTGATGTCCTGATGGCTGATCTAATTTCTGTGAATTGGGGGTTATTTAGATTTTATTATATATTTATCTAATTTGAATCACGAGAGTTATAAGGATGTGCAGCGCCACTTCATGTCTGTGTATTTTGGCTATTGTTTCAGAAACTGGTTTGGTATGGTTGATTATTAAAGGGGAAGCAGCACTATTTTTGTAATACTTATATTTTCACAATTTTTACATTTTACTATTTATTTATTTGTGTATAGCTTTGTGGAGCAGTGCAAGTGGGACATTTGCACGTTTGAAACTTATAGGAACTTTTTTTATTTATTTGCTTTTCCAAAGTATTCAGGTGGGTCTTCTGACACAAAGGGTGCTCCTCTTCTTCAGCGGTGGGTGGTCCTTCATGATGCACAACACCACAAAATCACACCAGGGTGCTGTGTAGTATTTTGCGTTTTCTTTGTTTTAAGTGTGTGCATCAACAATCACATTTGGATGTTTATCTGAATTAAAAAAAATGTTACTTTTATCTCTAGGAAAAAAATGTGAGTTTGTACCTTAAAGTGAATTCTTCAGATTTGCTCGTACTGTGATAAATGATTGTAGCCTATAATGTTTTTTTTTACAATAAATTGTGTTTTCAAGCATAATAGATGGGCGATTTGGGCTTTTAGTGCATTTTATAAGAACAAAGGAACAATGAAAGCCATTTTGTCCAAGTAGAAACTATTGAAACAAAATAAGTTCAGCATGATATCAGGAAAAGCTTTTGATATTGTGGTTGTGGAAAGTATTCAAGGTAAATCTCATGAGTCAGATAAGAGCCAAGTAGGTATGCTAAACTATAACACATTTAAAAACAAGTCCAGAATCACAGTTCATGTCCGGCGTAGTTATTGGTCGGCATTGGTTGCATAAAGATCTTGTCTTGGCCAGACAATTACTGAGATTACAAGTAAGTAATCTGCTTTATGTAAATAAAGACGGGGCACATTCTTCAGTTCAACCTTAGGAACATGGAATTAAATATCCATCTTTGAATAATGGCTTCTCTTTCTTTAGGGATGACAAAAATAAAACTTGTTTCTGAGAAAATACCTAGCTATTACAATTTTCAAGTTTCTTTTTTTTTTCTCTAGACAAATGATATGGAAAGAATCTTTTATATTTTTTTCAAATACATGGCCAAAACCATAGCAGCCAATGATACAGTTTTAGACCTAATCAAGTTAAAGGTACATGTTGATCAGATAAAAATATTTACCTGTAAAGACTATTTTAGATCTTGATGTTTAGCCAAATGCACAGGGAGATGATATCCCATCAGATAGTGATTAGTTAGGTAAGTTATTTTATTTTAGGTACAGGTCCCCCAAGAAGCTCAGATCCAGAGTGACAGTGGTCTATGTTTTCAGAGTAGTGCAACTTACACCGTTGGTGGTCTCATGTCATTGTAAACCAATTTTGCCCTGACTTGTGTCCCTTGTTTATGAGTTCATATCTTTAATGCTAATCTAAACCACAATCCAAAATTGTCTTCCTCTCTTCATCTCCATTACATCGGAAGTGGGTGGGATTTAGTAGTTTACAGATGGAAGATAATGTTTGTGCTTTCTGTCAAACTCACAGGAAGTGACAACAACACTGCATTCTTGGCCAGATCAATAGGTATTATTCTACTCAATGAGGTGCTTAGGCAAAATTAGCTTTTTTAAAAAAAATTGTCTACTCTTTTTTAACTTAGTGTTTTTTTTCTTGTTTTGTGTTCTTCGTATTAGTGTTTTCCTTTTAATTGTGTATTTAAATATTTATTTCAGGTATTTATATAGCGTCGTCAATTTACGCAGCACTTTACATATTTATTGTACATTCACATCAGTTCCTAACCCTCAAGGGGTGTACAATCTAAGGTCCCTAACTTACATTCACATACTAGGGTCAATTTAGACAGGAACCGATTCACCTACCAGCATGTCTTTGGAGTGTGGAAGGAAACTGGAATACCTTGAGGAAACCCACGCAGGCACAGGGAGAACATGCAAACTCCAGGCAGGTGGTGCCATGGCTGGGATTTGAACCAATGACCCTAGTACTGTCAGGCGGGAGTGCTAACCATTTTTCTTGGTATAAGTGCATTGTCACTTTACTGTATATTTTTTTCCTTTAAAATTTTCTCCACTGTTTGGTTTATTTTTACTTTCTGTGAAGAAGATATAAAATATTGAGGCTAATGAGGGTATAGTTCTTGACACCAGATCAGGTGCAGGATAGTTGAAAGTAGTGTTAGTAACACTCAGGAGCCATTTAAAGCCATTTACTCCCTTAAAAACCACCATAAATCAGACTGAGGGCATAGATAAAATCTACTAACAGACTTCTGAGCTCTGCTGGAGATACAGAAATTACACAAGCAAACTCTCCTTATTTTTAGGTTTCTTCCAAGCCTTCTGGAGACAAGCACATGACATATCACACAAGCTGACAGATTTTGATCTAGGGGAGAACCCAGTCTCTTACCTGCTTCATCTGAACCATTAGGAGACATTATAAAAAAACTCCCTATCTCCACTCAGGTGTTTCCAGAGATAGGGAAATTGCATATTAATAAGCAATAGCTATAGGCTAACTACAAATAAAAGTGAAAAAAGACAGAATGGGTTGCATTCCTTTTGATTCACCACCTGGAGAAATGTACACAAGTAGGAACTGGTATAAATATTTAAGTGGATATTTCAGTGCAATAAAGAGTGATTTAGCACATCCTGCTGACAGTACTACACAAATGTATACATAGATTGATGATAGGCACTACAGGTGTAAGGTAAATATGTGTTTGAAAACTGAACTCCAGGTAAAACATTTTTTTAGACATTTCTATATAAAAATAAATTACCTCCAATGATGGGTATGTCATACAGTGCCTTGAAAAAGTATTCATACCCCTGGAAATTTTCCACATTTTTTCATGTTACAACCAAAAATGTAAATGCATTATATTTATTTCAGGTACTTATATAGCGCTGTCAATTTACGCAGCACTTTACATATATATTGTACATTCACATCAGTCCCTAACTCTCAAAGAGTGTACAATCTAAGGTCCCTAACTCACATTCATACATACTAGGGCCAATTTAGACAGGAACCAATTAACCTGCCAGCATGTTTTTGGAGTGTGGGAGGAAACCCACACTGTTACTGGGAGAACATGGAAACTCCAGGCAGGTGGTGCCGTGGCTGGGATTTGAACCAATGACCCTAGTGCTGCCAGGAAGAAGTGCTAACCATTTAGCCACTGTGCTGCCCATACTGGGATGTTATATACAATCCCACATTATATTGGGATTTTATGTGACAGACCAACACAAAGTGGCACATAATTGTGAAGTGGAAGGAAAATGATAAATGGTTTTCAAAACTTACAAATAAATATCTGAAGTGTGGTGTGCATTTGTAATCAGCCCCCTTAAATCAGTAATTTGTAGAACCACCTTTCGCTGCAATTAAAGCTGCAAGTCTTTTTAGGGATGTCTCTACCAGCTTTGTACATCTAGAGAGGGACATTTTTGCCCATTCTTCTTTACAAAATAGCTCAAGCTCTATCAGATTGGATGGAGAGCGCCTGTGAATAGCAAATTTCAAGTCTTGTCACAGATTCTCAACTGGATTTAGGTCTGACCTGGGAGCTGTGCCGCTACCTGTCTAGTAGCTACAGTTTTCAAAAAGCTTTAAATCACAATGCTGGATAAAAAGGATATCTGTGTATAGATCTATCTGAAACATGTACATTGCAATCTGGACTCTGGTGACATCATCCCGCCAACACCGTATTCCACGTTGCGCTCCATGAGATTGGCTGTCTTCTTCCTCCCTACTGAGGCACAATCGACGAGACACTAGGCGTCCCATCTGGCGTCCATCCCAGAAT